GTCACAACAACCAAACAGAAATAGTGATATGGTACGATTTTCCTATAGAAGCCGCCCGGGAATGTAAATTTTTCCCTTGTATCCGATTCGATTTCGGGTGCCGCGCATAATAATGCGCGAGTCATCTATTGGGTAATGTTTGAATGCTAATGTTATGACTAATACGTGTTCAGAACGGGTCGTAACATCGATAATGGTTTGTAGTTCGTCACAACAACCAAACAGAAATATTAATATGGTACGATTTTCCTATATAGAAGCTGCCCGGAACTGTAAATTTTTCCCTTGTATCCGATTCGATTTCGGGTGCCACGCATAATAATGCTATTGGTTAACGTAAATCACATGACATCGATTTGATGGAATTTATTATTATGTGACTCTTTTGATGTAACCATCATCTTTCAACTATTGTCAATATTACCCACTTTTTCGACGCTATTACCTGACTCCTCCAGTTACCGTTTTCCGGTCACTATCATTAACAAACGCGCCAATTATACATAATGACTTCAATTGCGGAGGATATGGAAATAGACAACAACACAAAAAACCAGGGAAACCAAGGAAGTCTAATACCGGATTTAGAGGCTTTACGGCTTGCAGCATTATCAACACGCAAGTCACGGAAGGAAAAGGAAGAGCCGGAAGAAAAGCCTCAAAATGCACAGGTAGACGACGAGAGAGAGGAGGGAGAGTTAAGTGAAACCGAATCAGTGGAAGCTTGTCCACCGACTAAAATCACTCTGCATAAACATGAGACTAATGATAAAAGTGAGTAAGAAAGTTTGTTGTTGTGAACAGTTTAACACAAAACTTCGACGTATTTGTCTTGCATTTGGGGTCTTATATCTGGCCTTGGCATATGATTTGACAAGCTTCATATGAACACTTCTTCCATTGCTAGTCTCTTATGATCAGATCACTCGAACTTTGATGTCAGAGATATATGCATATGGTGCCCAGCCCGCCGATTTCCTCGAATTTGGCATTCCATTAGAAATCGTCGCTCAGTTTTCTAAAGAATTACACATATCTCTTCCGCCAAACATTGACAGCAATGGAATCCCTGCCTCTCAACAACTACGTCCTCAGTCGCTTCCTCCTCAACCCCCCCCTCTTCAACTAGCAACGCCATCTATTCCACCTCAATCAACGGCCCTATCTCGATCACTATCTGCTACACAGACGCAACCGCCATCAACTACACGTCCAACCATGCCACTTACTACATTTCAGACGCAACTACCATTTACTATACCTCAGACGCGGCCACCTTCTACTACTCTCCGAACTCAACCAGCATTTGCTGCGCAGATGATACGACCACCTGCTACTCCTCAGCTGCCGTCTAATGCGTTTCAGACAAAGGCACAGTTTTTTACACCTCAATCAAAACTTTCGCCTGCTCCCCCACAGATACAACGATCATCTAATATAATTCAGTCAAAGCCGGTATCTGCTCCGCCTCAGCTGCCACCATCACCTACTACCATGCCTCAATCAAAGCTAACATCGGTTCCGACTCAGATACAATCATCATTTCCCAAGTCTCAGACTCAGATACAACCACCATCTACCACGCTTCAGCCAAAACAATTACCTGCTCCCTCTCAGATACAACCATCATCCAATACGACTCAAACACAAATGTCATCCACATCTCAGTTAAAACCATTATCTACTCCACCTCAAATAAAGCCACCATCCTCAACGCTTCAATCGAAACCGATATCTGCTCAGCCTCAGACACAATTACCATCTACTATTCTTCAATCAAAGCCATCACCTGTACCGCCACAGGTACAATTATCACCTACTACACTTCAGTCAAAGCCAGCATCTGTCTCGTCTCAGGTACAAGTAACCGCGGACAAGCGACAGACAGCTGCGCCTCAGGCAGAGATCAAATCGGTACCTGTTTCACGCTCACCTATCAAGATCGAGCTTCCCGCACCAGCTAAACCATTTCTACCAGTACAGCATAACCAGAAAGTAGTTATACAATTGAGTGACGAATCAGATGAGGAACATAGACTATATAATTTAGCTAACAAGAGCACTAGAAGAGAAGACAATAATACGAATACGTTAATTGCATCCAAAATGGATGTAGATGACAAGAAGATACTTGACGCGAAGAAAGAACTGGAGGCCAAAGAGAAGGAAATTAAAATGATGAGAGAATTGATCGCTTCCAAGACTCAGTTGTTGAAGAAAAAGTCAACTACGGATGCCTTACCGCTTCAACCGCAACCGCAACCGCAACCCCAACCCCAACAAACAGAAAAAAAACTAGTGGAGATTTTTCCACCAGCGGATTCCGAATCGAATGAACCGAAACCATCCGTACCACAGATCCAAGGAAAGGAAACCGATTCCATTTCGATTCATACTTCCTCAATCAATACATCGCCGAAATCTGCTCCTGCTCTTCCATCATCAAATGCCGACACGACGGCCGAGCTGCTTCAAACATTTACGAGCTTCATTGAAGTTCACATGGAAGAGTTCCGTCGGTTGATGAATGATCACCGTCAACAAATGCAAGAAACACTCCAAGCTCAAGAAGAAGCTACATTAAGAGCCAAAGTCCTAGCCTCACAACGACCGAGACGTTCAAACAGTATATCAACTGATGGACGGTCGAGTGATAGAAGATCGTCTGTAGGAATGGAACTCGATGGAAAGTCAGACCTTTCTCCATCAGAAGAGACTAATAACAATGGAAAACGGAGTCTTCCTTCGTCGTCTGACGAGTCACATGAAGGTTATTCCTCGAGTAAAAAACAGAAAACAACCGAAAAGACATTAGAAATTCTCGAATTGCGAAAGCGACTCGAGAACGTAACACGAGAACATTCCGAAATTTCTGCTAAATTTGAAGAAATGAGACACACTAAAACACTTGGTAAAGCCAAACATACGCGTCGAGCCGATAAATTGTCTTCGAAGAATCAGCGTAATACTAACTTTTCTTCTCCGCGTGGCGCGCTAGCTCACAAACCCAGTCGACATTTTTCTGCAGCTAAGCGCAATGAGATGAAAGATGAAGACGATGAAGGCAGTCATGCAGACGTGGAGAGCGTGTCAAATGGCCGATCAAGCGTAGATAGTATAATGGAGGTTGATAATGACGTTGGTAATGAAATTGGCAACGTGATGTCGGATAAGGCAATAAGTGAGAGGCCGTTGTTGGAAGAACATGACTACCCACGTTGGAAACCTTATGTGTCCCCTTTACGTAACTTCAAGTCTTACCGTCTATCGACTAATTTCAAAGAAATTGTAGGGCTTCCCGGATACAAACACGTTGCATGGAATAATAAGATAAACGTTCAGCTGTGCATGTGTAAATATGAATTATTCCCACGCGGACGCGGGAGATGTAATGATCGTTTCTGTAAGGCGAATCATTTTAGGCATATCATGATGACTGAAGATGAAATTATACAAGACTTGATCAGCATCCCGTACGGCAACGATGACGCAACGAAGGTGGAATACTTGAAAGGTGTTGAGACACTTGTCTCCAACTTGAGACATTCACACACAAATACTTTCGAAGATATGATAACCCAGATTGTCACGTATCGTCAAAAATTCGCAGAAAAATTCCGAACACGTAATAACCAAGCCTCAAGAGGAAGTAATGGTAAAAAGACCGTTGAAGATGATACCCGCGGACATGACGCTATCCTGCATGAAATATTAGAGAGATTGGAAAAACAGGTTGAAGGGGAGGATAATGAAGAATTCGAAGGTGTCAACAAAGTGTCTCATCAACGCCAAACGGATAGAGGAAGAAGATATTTCGAAACCGGGAAAGATGCGGACGATACTCAAGTGTTAGATAATTTTTCGACATATAGCACTCCGGATGTGTATCCGGTTATAGTTACGACAGATGACGTTGATATTGAAAATTTGGACCTGGACGACAGTATTCCTCGCGTCGGGACTCCAATGGATCGTAGGCGAACTCAAGATGAATTATCATCAATAAGCTCTTCTCCCGCAAACTCGTCATCAGCTTCGTCGCCTCGTATGTTTGTAACATACGAATCCAGCGAATCGAGTGATGAAGAATATGGAGAAATGACGTATTATCGGCCAGATCATCCCGTTCTCGGTGATAATGGTTATGAACAAGTAGACTATCATCCGAATAATACGAATGGATATAATAATGAAAATCGACAGCATCTGAGTACAGAGACGGAAAGAGCTGCTAGTACCACTAGCAATGTTGCGGAGAACGATGACTTAGGTCATGAAGTAAGAGACGAAGATGCGTCATTGAACCTTGTTGGCAAATTTTTGAAATGGTGGTGGAAGTAAGGCTTGTAAATAGGAATCGATTTTTATTTTACTTTTAGAACAAGCTTCCACAGCTATATATTTGATTTCATTGGTCAACAAGCAAGCATTTGTGTCATTGTACCATGTTTAATATTTTTAATTTGATTTTTACCCTGGCAATATTTAGTGAGCCACAAATAAAGTGTGCTATGTAAGAATTGTCACATGCTGGTGGCAATTTCCTTCTCAAATGCATAGAGGACATAAAATGTAATTAATTATACCCCAATGAGAGAATTATAATAGTAATATATATTTAGATTTAGCTGGTCAAGACTCGGTAAATAGAATATAAGCTCATTGATAATAGTTGAGAATTACTTACTGGCATAGAAATCCGAAACTCCAGTGGTAAAGTCACCGTTATTATTATTGATTAGAGGCTAAGTTATTAGGATAAGTTCACATTTTGGGACAAGCGCGCCTAAATGGTCTCGGGTCATCCTGAGTATCAAAAAATTCTTGTTATTCGCTCTGTAAGCATTTGCTTCCTATTAGTAAAAAAAATAAACTTCACTTTGAAACAATCCCAATCAAATTATCTCCCTATGGCATGCTACACTATAAATAAAAATGTATATAAAAAATGCTGACCTGAGGTGGATGACGCCATCATACAACGTATTTTACACCACTTCAAACAACTGGCTTATGGGTTAAGAGGCGACAGGAACGGCGAACGTAGATGTTATATTTTTTGACCATTATTCTTGCCAAGGCTTCACAAGTGTTTGTTTTTCGCATATCATGTATTCGCTCTCCTCAAGACTACCATTAAACAAATGTTCAATAAAATTCAGTCACTTGTGCTAAGAGCGTTTTTTTTAGTTATGATCAAGCTAGATTACCTCGATTTGTTAAAGCTTGAAACGATTAGGTCTGCCAAACGATATTAATTACGAAATTTACATTATTTAAAACACGGTCGTTCTACCGTTATTCAGTGTTACTCTTATTATTATCAAGGACGAACATCTTACCAAATGGAATTGAAAGTGTGTAGACGTATTTATACGCACAGGCAAAAAAGCCTCAGCTTAATCTACCGCGTTGTCGAGTTCTTTATTAAAATTCACTCTCATGTTAATATTTTCAACACTGCTTTGTTAATACTAATCGTATTAGAACGTTCGTTCTTATTATAACGTTCGTTACGAAAGAGAGTTAATGATGTTGTGTTAATATTTTTTCTCAATGAAATTAGACTGTCACTATGTAAATCCCGTTTAAGGTTCTATTACATAGTATAATCACATTAAAAAGACTGCGATTGTCACAACTCGCTCGTCTTGCTACTCTTGCAACCAGATAAGCAGCTGTGAACTTACTACGGCGAACCCGCTTAGAATTTACTTGGCTCTGTTTCCGCAAAGAAACTATTTCAATTTGTTTCCTCATTTTCTGATGTAAAAGTTAGCAATAATCTAGAACTCCTTAGAAGGACGTTTTGCAACTTATAAAAGTATCCGATATCAAGTATTACGTTCTATTTTATGCATAGAATTTTGGGGAGTAATTAAATATTCGGATACTTATGACTGCTATTGTATTAAACTCGCCTGTTGTCATTTGTTTCAATACGTTGATGAGTTAGACTATTGTAATGATTTATTTACAAGCAGTTCAATATTACCGTTAACTCGCTCGTTCAACAAAGACATCAAGTATAATACTTTGTTCTAAGTTGATGTCATCCATAATAAGACGAGAGTATACAATATCTACTCATTCTCATGGCATAAGAAAGTTGTTCTACAGACAATTACCTAATTCTCAAGCTTGAGAACAAAGTATGGTGTGCGGGTAAGTAGATTTACTATTTCGCTGAAATATTGAGCTAACTTTTCTCGGTGTACAAGCAGGAAAACAATTGTTTCCATCCAATGACCTCAATTTGAAAAGACAATGACGTAGACTGCAATAGATTAATAGATCGTTGAAAAGATAATTGAATGTAATAACGTATAGAAACTTACAAAAAAACGAATTGGAAATTCAAAGCTGACTTAACACTATTGGAAGCTAATAACTTATAAGAGCGCATATTAGTATAAAATCTCCCACAAAAGAATTCATCATCTGGGACGTTATCATCTACGGAGGACAAGCATACATATTATACATAAACTATTTTATCACTGTTGAGTTAAAGCTAACACTTGGTCAAAGTTAGCATTGGCTGGTACCCTGCCTATCACCAATTGAATTCGCACTTCTCTTGTAATCACATATTCGGGCTCGTTGAGTACGTTATCTTGCGTGCGCATTTGCGTAAAAATATGCGCAATACTTTTGATCGTACCGAAATATCGGTTGGAGGATCCACAGAGTGGACACGAGTTGTTTTTGTGAGTTTCGACTTTATTACGGCTCGACGTATTTAACTGCCCATTCATGGAGGCACCAACATCCGAAACCGGTCCGTAATAAGAGACTGAGGGATATGATGTTATATAATTTCCAGTACTTCCGTAGTGCATAGCATTCATATGGACATTACCATGGAGAGGCAAAGATGTGGCATGAGAACGGAAATCTTGAGCATAATGCTGGGCTTGCAAATTAGTAGGCATTTGGCCTGGAGAATCTGTATTCGTAGACGTCATGTTGAGAGGAAAATCGGTAGCATGAGCGCGAGCATAAGGTTGAGCTTGCAAATTAGTAGTCATTTGATTAGAATTGAACCCTTCCAATTGACCGACGGCGTTATAAAGTCCGACATAATTGTTGCTAGGTCCGCTCATTAGATATTATTAGGTGAAGAGGGCAAGAAGAAAAAATTGTGTTCTGACTGACAGCCGATTTCAATGATTAAACCTATTATAACAAGCTATTTTCATTTATATATTGTATTAATGTGACTACGCATTCAAATAAATGAATCCGAAGAATGCTGATACTAGACATCGAAACAAGCGAGACCCGTTTATTACTTACAGTCCAATGATGACAATAATTTCAGGCCAAACTGATATTAGGTCAAGAGTCCTGGAGTCGGAGAAGCAATCCACTAGTTTAAATAGAAATTGTGTTATACAGTATTTAATCGGTTTCCTAAATTGTAAAGTGTGACCTGCTTTTGCTTGCCTTACGCCCACCCTGTCATGTGTACCTGTCATTGTTCAGTGTCTTATCTTATAAGATAAGATAAGATCAATAGCATGGATAGGCTTAAACCAGCGGGCCTTGGTTTGCTGATTTTTGGCCGAAATTTGTTTAACCTAAGAGAAAGTTTCTAATTAATGAAAATTTGGCGTAGTCGGTTAAACCCGAGACTGGGTTTTAATCAGCGCCGGTTTAAACAGGTTTCACCTGTAGGAGACGTTATGAGGATGATATATTATAAGAATATATGGTAGATGGCTGCTCATGGGGTATTTAGTCAAAAAAAAACACGGTAATTCGGCAGTCGTGTGTTGAGGTTTTACTGACCCAACGTGTGTAAGGAAATGTGAATAAAGATGACACATCCTACAGAGAACATCATTTATTGAACATATAGCAGAGGCTTATTATTGTTATGACCCGTTCTAGGATTTGACCCGTTTGTGGGATTCACATTATAATTAGAATAATCTCACACCAATAAAGTGCACAATTTAAATTTATGTGATAACGTCGCCGAAAACAATTTTGAAACGGTTGACCCAGTCAAATCCCACAACATTATCACTTTTGGAATTAAACATAAAATTGGGAACATGAAATGAATAGGCCTATAACGATAACTCTGGCAAGTTGTGTCTGTATAAGGATCGTTGACCAATCTTCTTAAATTATGTTATTTACTTTTTGTGAATACTGTACAGTATAAATTTTACCAGTAAAAATCGATTAACTTCAATACGACACCAGAATCATCATGTTACTTTCGAACGACGATTTTTCACTATTGTGCTCGTAATTTTGGCGAAAGGGGAGGAGGGGGATAATGTACAGCATTAAAATATTTTTGCTAGAGAAGCACATCTGGCAACGGACAACAATTATTATCGTTGGAATCGAGATGACAAGCTTCTTGCCTATGAATGCAAGAGTAGAAAGGGAAAAGAAGTGAGAGAAATAGTAAACATGGATCGGATCGAATAATAAAAACAATAGATACACTCGACAGTCAGCTTTTTCCATATCCAAACATAATAAATTACATTCTAAGAGCTCCAAGTATGAAAAGCATAATAACAACAAGTGACCGGTTTTAGTGATATGACGGATGGCAATATGTCAACATTCAATCCTATCGATTTCCTCGAGTTATATTGATTTCATAATGTTCTTTGCAAATACAGTCAAAAGTCAATGCTCCATGTAACGCTGTTTTCATCATTCACATTTTAAAGTCTTCTAGACGAAAGCCATTGATTGGCATTAAAGAACTGCGAGGCAAAATCCAAAGAAATAGAGTCGGTCGCTCTCAGTTGCTTCAATGCAACGATCAGCTGTTCAAATGAAAACCATAAATTAGGAAATCAACCAATCGACGCCATGACACTTTCCGCCGCAACCTAACCGCTTCCAACAGTATCTGTGATGCTTCTTACCTCATCCCAAAATGCAAAACCATTTATCAGGTCAGCCTTTACATCAGTGCACGCCGTAAAGATGCTTTGAATCTTCCATAATGCTTCCGATATATTCGTATGCGACGCCTTGCCCTCATTCAATTTGGACAGCGATATAGTTTGTTCGAGGTATGTCTTAGTTATTATACCCATAGCCGTATTCACGTCTGTCAGGAAAGGTAGGCTGCCAACACAAAACGCGATGCATATCATGCATTAGCCATATTGTCAATGCTTCCATTCACACTTATTGATATCACTGACCTCAGAGCAATCTCCAAATAGTCCCCGCGATCTTTACGCCGGTCAGAATTAAGGAATAGTGACAATGTTAGCATCTCACACAGATTGCGCAATGAGCGGTTCAGGGCCTTGATAAAACTATTAAAAGCCAAAAGTTCTCTACTTAAAGGCCCTGCCCATGCGGTGCCCTGTACGTGAAATAAATATATTAGCATGTTAATAGGTATATTTAATGTTTAAACGCAATATAATATTATTCTCACGCGATGCTTGCTTTAAACGTTGCGGGCATTAAACTCAGTGTCCTAGAAATCAAAAGTATATGTCTTTTTTCTTCATCTACGGTAGAGAAATCAATGTAATGGGAATTAATTGAATATTTAAGAGTCTATTATGAATTATATCCCAATTCAAATATCAGTACATTACCATTGCCAACAACTGGCCCGCCAAAGTACGGTCGACTGAACGTGTTAGCATTCAGATAACCAAATCTAATCAATTCCAAAGCAGAAAATAATTGTTCTTGATGTGATGCTGATCCTGGTTTTGCCGAGTCGAGGGCTTTTCGAAAAGCGACACCCCAGTATGTTTGGGTGTGTGATTGAGTGAGGAAGCTAGAGAAAAAAAATAAGCCATATTATATACCCATATAAAGTTACAAATAATAAACGCTATGATATATAAAAGTTACTTTACCCTCTCAATTGCAATAATCCCCATATAACGTTCGCTAGTATTTCATCCTTACTAATAATAGATTTGTCATTATTTTTAGGCATTATTGTTTTCGCTGCCTGCTCCTCCGTTGCAGTTGCCCTTAGACAAAAGGCAATATCAATCGTAGAAGTCTATACAGTAAAAAGAAGAAAAAAACAAACACGCGTAGTTTGTATCACCCATATATGACACGATCCATACTACCATAATCGACACGTTAAATCTCCAACAACTTGCTCACTACCTTTTGTGCTTTCCTCTCTTCTTCCAATCCGCCTTCCAATACATTCCAAGTACTCAATGTATCGTGGACGCTAGGTACCATGTTGTGTTGCAATGGATGATCGTTAGACGGTTCATACCAATATATGCTAACCACTTTTCTCGACTGATAAAACTGATGCAATGGCTGAGTAAGTAAACTCATTGCTTGTGTGCGCAGTTGGAGTAGATGGTTAAGAAATTGTTTATATTCTTGCGTTTCACCATTGCACAGTGGAGGATTTTCGATCAACACCCCCGATATCAGCGTATTGATAACCTGAAAAGTTGGTTGGAAGAAAACAGCATGAGAAACAGAAGCTCGACGATGTAACGGACGCATTACATAACGCCCTGTACCTGTGGAGACATCAATCCTTTAGACAAATAATAATATATTTCGTCGGGCAACCTGTATCCAATAAATTCATGTATGTCACTGGGCGCATTGTCAACGTTCAGTGGTTCGACCTTTCCCTCATCTGTCAACACTAGATGATATTTAATAGCACATCTAGTACGACAGAAGAGATCCATATAATTCATCTTTACTACCAAAGAATGTTCAGCGTAACTTTGTACAGCATTAAAGCCGTGTTTATATTGTTTGATAAGATCGTGAACATTCTTGAACGCGAAACCGCCTATGTCCGTGTTAAGTGGTGGGAATGTATTACAATACTCAAAGCCCGCCAAAATGCAGACGTCGAGGAATTGTTCATCCGTGATTTGGAGATCTGCAAGTATGTTTTTCTTACTAAGATATGAATAGGTGCCTTTCTATGAACAACAGTAGAGTAATTAGTTGGAGAATTCAAGGGCAGGAAGCGACGAATGCGAACGAGAGAAATTTCATTGGTAGTCTACGCGAACCTCCAAATCTAACCCAACGATTACTTTTTCTACATCATACATTAACAGTTCATTGCCGCCGTAGATTGCATGAAAATAGCTTTTCGGGTGCCGTTCTAGATAGACGAGCTGTACGGAAAAATCTTTGGTTAGCATTAGGCAGCATAAATATGGCACTGTTACAAATTGGAAAATAAATAAAAAGGTCTATAATAAATATCATGATATCGTATACTGGTAAAAAGAAACCCTTTACCTGTCCCCACGCAGAATATGGGGCTCGCATGAATTCCACATCGTTTTCTTTCAATATACTAAATACAAAATACAACAAATCTGGCTGATTGACAGATCCCGAGGCCGACCATCCGCTGTATGCCTGTTCTATTTTGCCCTTTTCATACGCATCCCAAGCTTGAGCTCTCTTGGCTGGCCTGGTATCCTCACCAGAAAAAGGTTTATCTTTACGAATCACGTTTAATCCATTAAATACAAAGAATGGCTGTATCCCATATGATCTACACACAATGGAGAACAAATATTCGTAAGTTGACTGTTGTAAACAATCGAAAATCAAATCGACCACCCTTACGATATCAATTCAAAAAAAATCATCTTTTATTTACTTTATTGCCTCCAATTCTCTTTCTATCGCACTTTTCAAACCTATAGGAACACCACCAAGTGCAGCAGTAACCGAGTCTTTCCCAAGCGACTGTATAATTTTACGCAACCAGTGAACACCTTCTATGCCAAGTCTAACATCCTTCAGGGAAGTAAGTGACGCAGTTTGAATGAGATGACGCTCTGCCGTAAAAACTTGTGAAAGAAACAATTCCCAGGTGTTAGATCATAAAGGTTGGAGGGTTTCAGGTAAAGGTCGATACACATTAAGCATAATGAATGGGGCAAAAGGCGATCTTTATGAATCATTGGAATAAATAGTGACCGTCTGCAAGAATTCTATACCTACTTTCAAAGTGACGTATCATAATTCGTATTGTTAAAAAGAAAAAGAAAAAGGCATTCACAGCAATCGCGGAGAAAACTATTTGACACACTGTGATTGGCTGATTTTTTCATGGATAAAAAATCAAAAAGACGACAATTACGACAATTACGACAATTACACACTGGCCCCAATTTCGTCAACATGATCACTCGGCGATTTGTACTGGCGTGCCTAATTTTATACTGTCTGTTCATATCCACTACGTTTGCAGCAAAACCTTCATTAGAAGTCAAAGTCGCAAAATTAAATGATGCTTCAAAGAAAAACGGCATTGTTGATCTGGATTCGAATTTGTTCGATGAATTTGTCGCTAAACCAAGGAACTACTCTTTTGTAGTCCTCTTGACTGCTATGGATTCTCGACTCAACTGCATTCCATGCAGGTGAATGAGATACAGTTTGTAAAATACAACGAAATGATTGATATTAACAAGCAGTTTTGCGTGTACTTGCAGGGAATTTGATCCGGAATTTCGTTTGGTTGCAAAGACGTGGAAACAAATTGGGAACCCGGTCGACCGTGTTTATTTTGGATTATTAGACTTTATTAATGGCAAAGAAATATTCAATAAGGTATTCGTTGCTGTTTGTCTGTTTCATGCCTCGTATTATGTCACCAAGTGTTTAATATCCATGTTCCAGTTAAAACAAACCAGTGCGCCTTCGTTGTGGTATTATGCTCCGACCGAAGGACCATTTGCTAAACAAGTTACCGAACCCGACAAATATGACTTTGGCCGCAAAGGCTTTGGAGCTGAGCCGTTCGCTTCGTTCGTGTCTGCGCATCTTGGCACGCCCATTCCGATTACCCGACCCCCAAATTATTTCCTGATGGCTGTTTACGGATTGTTATTCACGGGCTTGTTGGCCTTTTTAAAGATGGTTTATCCAATGATACAAAAGTTTATTTGGAACCGAAACGTGTGGGCAGCGTTGTCACTGGTGATTATCTTGATGATGACATCGGGACATATGTGGAATCAGATTCGCACTCCGCCATATGTAATATCGCAGCATGGACGGGTCAGTTATGTCGCGTCTGGATTTCAGAGTCAATTCGGATTGGAAAGTCAAATAGTGGCAGTCATGTGTATGTATATGAACAAATATCTGATTAATTTACAGTTTTTTTTATAAAAGCCGACTGATTAATTTTATTCTTATTCAATGTATGGAATGGTCTATCTTGCGTCCATGCAGATGGCGTCTGCGCACTGTCAACGATAGCATTGATCACGTCTGTGCCAAAGTTGAATGATCCGATTAAACAACGATTTGGTATATATGTGAGTATAGTATGTCTTTCATTCTCGAAATTTATTTTGACTTGGTCTAAATTTTTTTTACTCAAATTGAACAGTTATGGACCGGCATTCTTGTCGCAATGTTTAGTTTAGTTTTCGCTCTCTTTAGAGTTAAGCAGCCTGGATACCCGTTCAGACTGTTTATATAGATAATAAAGGGTTTGTAAAAAACAATATTTGTCCGTCACACAGGTCAAGGCTCAAGACTAGATGCACCCCCAACTAGCAATTTGTGTGCCAGTGGAGTTTTTGAAATGAGTATTGGCAATACTCTCAATTAATTTATGGGTCTTCGTCTTCGTCTTCATCCCATGGCCCTCGCAAGTCTTGGTAAAGACACGCATTTACGACTCCAATTGGAATGTCGTGTAAACCAGGCACAAAGTCATCGGTTATTCCAGACAATCTGGATAGGCTCTGGCCAACGTTTGCATAGTCATCTAATAATAAAGCATTAGGTCCGAAGCGTAATAACAGCAATTAAGCATTCCACAGACCAAAATACCTGTTATTGTGTTGAACGAATCGATTGGCGCAGTATTCATTAGATTAATAGAAAAAAATACAGCGTATATAAATGCGATCAAAACCAATGTCCACACAGGCCATGCTATAGCCCAATAACTGTGGTGAGGAAATTACGTTAGAGAATGGTTAACGATTAGTGCATAAAATGTTGGCTAATCATACTCAACGTACCGGTTAGGAAAATATGAAATGCCCAAGGAAATTAAAGTTTCATCAGGCAAATATGCCCATAATAAATAAATAACTACACAGAATTGGGAGGTTCAATCCATCATTCGTCAACAGTTCAAGTAAAATCACGAACGTGTGTACGCACCAAACGCAATAAACGAAGTCAAGTACAGCGTAAATCCGTAATATTCATAGGTAGGTGTTTTGGTCAAGGTAGTCGGGGATTCATCAGTTTGATCCAAATTCGATACATTAAAGCTCTTATCCGCAGGTGGACGTGAAGACTCGGGAGACGCCCTCACTTTAGCATTAAGGAAGCTGTTATGCGATACTGCCCTGGCGTTGATGTTATAAAGAAATACCCAAGTGGGCAGTGGTAAATAAAAACTTGATAATGTATTGATCGATATACCGTAACAGAATACTACCCGATCGGGCGTGATGGTCTTGACATTTTGTGGCCGACTTGTCAGAAGAATTGCTTATGACACCTGTCAAAAAGACTGGAAAGACATTCTTCACGTGACTCTGGATATTTTGGTGATACTATTTAATATTATGGAGGATATCGAAATCACAAAGACGGAATGGTGTTACAGTACAACGCATCTCTTCCGACATGCAGTAAAGTTAATTCGTGCAAAATATTTGTAATTGAATACCAAATACACAGTCAAACCCCGTATAAAGCTACCTCGGTTATAAAAATCATCGTAATCCGGATCTAGTTGTGAGAAATTATATCATCCTTTAATCCGAGGTCTCATCAGTTGATAAAGCGGATAACAATCATGAACCAACAAAAGCGAAAGACCACTCTTACTATTGCACAGCATAACTATTTCATAGCAAAATACACATCATTAGTGTGTGTCGAATAATGATCCGCAAAACGAGAGAAATGTCTATATCAATATGCGCGCAAATTGGATAGATTACCCTGCTGGCGAGAATAAAGTTTGGTGAGCGTACGAATTTTTATATAATTAATAAAGATCTCGTTAACATTGGTAGTACTGAACTGTTCACACAGTCAACGAATAAAAATTCACGCATAGACAAAAAGTCTGTTACGTCGCGGTTTACCAGCAAAGTATGACAGTTACTAAAATCCGCACGTCAAATTGCAGAATCGGATGACTAGACGCTTAACAAACTCGTTTATTTAGAACAGTTCTTGTCATTATTGAGTAGATATTTCAAATTATTATCGAATCGTTTGGAAATTATGATTTGAAAGAGACCGTGATATGCAATAGATCGCATGTTAATATTAAGAAAACACATTTTATTAGCTTCTATATAAGAGTAATGTAAAAATTAACGAGCGTAGTAAAAAAAAAAGGTAAATAGCTGATGTGTTCAATGAAGGCTTACCTTTAATCTTTTATATCTCAAACTTCGGCCATCGGCTCAACTTCTTCACATGATATTTCCGGGTAAGAGCGTTTTTTTTTAGCTTGTATTTCCTCGTTTAGCCAAGTCGTGCAGAAGCTGCATCTAATAGCTAACGCGGGAATTTTTTTACAGCAATAATGACACATCATATCTTTTTTTGCGTCTTCACTTTCCTTTTTGAATGTCATTACATTAATCACTAATAATTGAAACACGGTTAAATATCAACATGCATCATGGTTGATAAGTTATGTACAAGACATTTTGTATTACTTACATCTGACGAATATGTATACGAACAAGCTGATGATGAAGAAATTAACAACTTGTTGAAGAAAATTGCCATAGTTTAGAGTCACGCTGCCGGCAGCCTAGAAACAATATGAATCATAATTAATAAAAAGCAGAATGTATGATATTGCTTATCAACAAATAAATATTAACCGCTGCAAGATCCCTAGTTGTAAAATTTCTTTGACCATCTGGAGCTGCCCTTATTACAACAAACTCTTCCGTCAATTGCGATCCTACACGTGGTTTTGGTCAAAAACAAATAAAATGGTCAATTTTCCGTGAATACAATCATGTCGAACTTACAACACACAATACGCTTAGCAAGTTACTCACCAGCCGCAAGACCAATTACGGGTGCTAACATATCATTCACCCTGTCAAAGCATAATTGATGAGTATTATGATCGGCGTTTGCACGTCACTCAACTGCTATTAAAATGAGCTCATATTTATACCGACTACAGCTCGCCATTAATGGCTTTCTTTTTAACCGAATTACTCATCAATTCGTAACTTACATGCTGTTGACAATGGACGAAAATGCTGCGCCTATAACCACACCCACAGCGAGATCAACCACATTTCCTCTATTAACAAATTCTTGATAATTGGCAATTATTCCCTTCACCTCTTTTACACCGTGTTGGATGTTTTTGTTTACGGCAAAATCCCCAAGTTTGACATGTGGAAGTCCGCGAGAACGTGGTGGATACGCCTTATGTGAGGTTGGTGTTAAGGGATAAGAATTGGAGGTCATATCTTCAGACATTTTGAGAATGAAAAGGCTGCGGGCGGAAAACAGGTACGGACGAGGTGGAGGTGATTATGATAAAGAATGACAAGATTTGCACTAGGCGTCGGGTTTTACGACCCTTCTAGAGTCAATATTCGCAAAGGGAGAAAATAAACCCAGAGAGACAATTTTATCGTCAAAGATATAACTGCTGTTCGGAAAGAGAACAAAGCAGTGAAGGACAGTCGTTTGGTTATTTTAGCTATGGCATCCGAATAAATAAAGGAATCAATTATCGTCACGGAGATACCTAATCTGCTCAATGTGCCGATTAGATTAATGCATGACTGCAGCCAAGCAAACAATGAAATTTGGAGAAACACCCTTCGATTTGCAGTTATAATAAAGAATACCTATTGGATGCCATAATCATTATGACAAACTTGCGAACAAACAAACAATTCAATGTGGACAAGCTACAAGATTAGAGCCGTTATAAAGAGTAACGTTTTCTCTTTACGGGTTGATGTCTTTATTAAAAAAGTGAGACTCGTTTCTGGTTTTGAAATCTGAAACCGCTGGGACATCCCGGGATATCGCATTTAATGAAACACTGTATATCCCTGTGTAAATTAAATATCGTTACGATCCATCGACGTAGCCGACTTTGTTGATCTATTGCCGAAATCTTAGTTTATCGAACTTTTTTTTTTTTTACTATAACAACGGCCTAGAAATGTGTGACCGCCCGACTACAACCGCAAAAATGACTTTACAATTAGTTAACATGCTTTCTTCCATATAATGTTCGATTTTTGCATAACCCGCCCATAGCTTATTATTATTATTCATTTGCAATCATTTACCATACATCATCAGTTCTGAAACTGAACAATATGTTGGCTTGTATCTCCCATTATATTCGTAAATCATAATTTGATGTCATTCATTTGTATTGTCTATCAGATAACCCGCAGTGCATTTGATGGCACGTATAAGCGTTGTAGCTGTCCTTCCACTAACCAATCCACTCACGCAGTGGAAAAAAAAAAGGTTTAGTTTCTTCGCATGGCCCAAAATGCCACTTTTTGTAAAAAAATTCTGTGCAGAATCCAAAAAAATATTGATATTCTCAAGATACGGTGGCGGACCTGCCATAAATAGGATATCGCGCAATGATACGTTGATCGATCATGTGTGTAGTCAGTGTACTGAAAGCCGTGTTGAATTTGGGAGTCTTGTGCTCGTCATAATGGCACAGGGATTTAAATTTCATTGAGATTTCCCGGTAAGTTTTACCACTATTGTCAGCAGTCAATCACATGGGTTAGATCCTCATGAACTACTATTAGGGAAAATGAATTTCATAATTTATTAATATTTGCGTGATGAAACAACCGAGTCACGATGCCGAAGGAATGCACAAGCCTTAGTAAACTCTGACGCATTTTGAGAAAGGCTTGTTTACATTTATGTACTATTATATCAATAATAAAATTTTCTTTTTGAATAGACGACGTTCATGAACAAATTACTGAATAGCATCGACTTTGACAACAAGTCAAATTCTATATTAAACCGTGCAATGCAGTGTTTATTTATTCGCTTCAAGACAATGGAATTAAAAACATGAAAACATATTCATACTGTATTGACTATGCACACGCGCTTTCCATATCGCTTTTGATAATCCTAAATACATTTTCTCTCTAACATTAAATGCATCTTATTTCGTATTCCCAGCCTCGGAATTTAGTGCTAAATTCATACTCTTTATATTCTACATGTGCAATATGTCTTGGCTGTGAAAGCAATTTTGTAAATGCACCCAGTGATGTACAGTAATTATGAAAATTTTACCAAATTCGGCACAAATTGTAACCAGAAGCCATAAAGTCAGATCAACGCTGAACGTGGCACAACACTATAAAAGAGCATTAATATTAATAAATAGCAGTAATTATTGTTAGTCATGTAAATTCATAATCTTTATACACCCTCTAAAATGTAGCTCTCGACTTTCAGTTCAAATGACATGCATTTAGGGAGACTAGACTACATAACGTTTGTAAGCTGGTCTACGCATAATTTGTAATATGTGATACTTTGTAACTGGTTGATAGGGTGATATTTATTCTATTATTGTCATCAAGATGTTCTAAATAGCGTATGATTAAAGGATTATAAACTAGAATGTATCGAAATTCAAACAATCAGAGCACAATCAGAAGAACAATAATATATCATTAAAAGATCATACGATTAGAATAGTACCATTTATGTAAATGCACCATTAGATCATACAATTTAAGAATATTGTGTCATTAGAATTATAATATCAAAATATTCTGTATTGTTAGAGTGAAAGATTTGCAAAATTGATCTCAAAGACAATCCAGTCTACAGGTGCTATATCTGCTAGCAATAATAAATGGTTTAATTAAACGTTTTTTATTTGTCAAGCCAGTTATAAGAGGCTCAGCTGGCCGCTTATATGATTCTACATGCTAGTTATGTTTTATTCAAATATCATAATTATCACGTATCCATCAATAATTAATAACATTATGGGCGCGTAGTCAAAGCAAAGCAGCTAGAGGGCAATTTTTAAAGTTAGAATGTCAAAATTTTCTGTTACGGGTTAAAATTATAGATTAACGAAAACAGCTGCTAGAATGTTTAGCAAGTTATTACCAAACGCTGGCCGAAAAGACCGTGTAGTCAGCAGTATCTTCTCATAATGAGGTCTTTAAAACAAGTTTCGAAAACTATGCGCGGACGACGACAATAATTTATTTATTCTGACACTTTTTTTTACCTGGTCGAAATCAATGATTCCGATGTCTACAAACAGTCTTTCGGGAATTCTCCAAAGTCAGTAAAAGTAAGATTAATTGTAGGACGCGTAATGCATAAACCGCATACATATATGTTGTATGTCGGTTTGGAATTTATGTCCATTCGGAATGGACACGTATGTCGGATTGGAATCATAAAGGCAATCAGG